TATTTTGTCTATTGTTATTACTGTGTTTATTGTCTGGATTGGTAAGACAAAGACAAATTCCTGCTCTGGTGGGACAAAAAAGTTATTTTTTAATCTATTCTATGCTAGTCATGATCTCAGTATTGAGTAAAATAATCATTAGTATCATTTAGTCATTATTGTGCAGCCCCGAAGCTTTGTTAGAAAGTCACATATCAGGTTTGTGCATCATGCAACATACTATACAAGTTGCATTTGCATACTGTACAGAGCATCCAGTTTCATCTCTCCTTTCTTCTTCAACCTATTCACGATGCTCTTTTGTGTGAAAAGGTGAGCAACAAAAAACGTAATGCGACTCATCAGATGAGACGTCATTTAAGAAAATTCCATCCAACTGGTTCCCCGAGATTACATTGTGCATTGTGTATTTGTATCTGTGTGTGCGTGAGTGCATGAGAAGAAATCTTCACATGCTCAGGTGAGGATGAGAAGCATGATTTGATCCATGTGACTGACAGCACAATGGAGAATTTACATTTGAAAGGGATTCCTTTTCTTTTCACACAAAATAAAGAGATACCAGGTTCCTCCACATACCGGGCAGTGCGTGATCCAGTAGGAGGTCTTAAAATCTGCAATTGCACATAAAACACTAAAATGACTCCTCATAGAGGTTTAAATCTAATGACAAATTATGTGAAGATTGGGGAATATTATGCGGTGTCATTGCAGGCCCTCATGGGATCCACTGAGGAATGCATTGTGGGAAGATGTCAGCTGGAACACACCCTGCAATGTAAATTGCAGCCAAGTATACACCCCGGGCTTGTTAACAAGTGACTCAGGTTTCACTGGGGCTTGTGTGTGCTCAATAACGAGGAAAGGTTAATAAGCTGATCAATGAGGAAGAGATTGCGCTGCCTGCTAAAGCTGGTAAACAATACCAGAAACTGCGGCTCAGGGCTGAGGGACGGGACACATGTAACCTGTAATTTGCCCCCGCCTGGCGTGAACATGAGAATGAGCTCGTGCATGAATGGATTAGGAATGGGGACGGGCGAATGTGAGAATGTAGCCGACACCTCGCGAGTGAAACGCAGATTACAGTAATACGTGTCTGCATCTCTCATTCCCCTCCTCCCCCCTCCCTTTGCCTGATGCGATGACAAGTCATGCTGTAATGAGTTTTATAAAGATTTTTTGCAGATCGATGTCCCAATCAGTCAGCCATCGCCTGTGAACTGTGATTCACATGCCGTTGTCTGGCAGTCGATAGATAGAGGAACCATTGATTTTCTTTTCCTTTGGCAGGAGAGGGCCCCGGCTGGTTGCTGGTGCAGGTGGAGGTGGTGGGGGGAGGAGGAGGAGGAGGGGTTCCTTTGTCAGGAGACACTGATTAAGTGAGAGGAAGGACAGACAAGGCCTCACCAGGGATACAGCCTTGAGAGCAGAGTATGTGTGTGTGTGTGT